TAACAATTTGAATGTTTGATAATGTTATCAATTTCTCTGTGATGCTAACAACATCAACTAAATGATTAAATGGTGACACGAAAGTATATCGACCAGGTGCCAAGAATTTAGGTGTTTGATTTAACATCGCCAAGCCCAGTTCCCCGTCTTTAACCAAATGAATTCCCAAACCTGATGGATGGCTTGCATGCTTCAATAATTGTCGACGATCTAATTCTTGATACAGTGATTGATCGGGCTGAATTTTGATATCATCGCCTAAATCATCACCATGTTTTATAGTACCAAATGTCTTCGGTGTCATACACATATGACAGTATCAATTATTTTCAACCATCTAGGGGGTGTCCTTAATGGAAGCACGATGAAATATATGCCCTTTTTGTTTTCTACTTTTACACACAACGGAAAATATTTGCTATTCGAAAAATAAAATGTTATTCTACATCGTTTGAATAAAGTTTTGGAAAAATGGAATAAAAGCCATTTTCCTTTAACAACGCCTCACCCGTATTGTGACCAAATTTTCATAGTTATCCCACAGTAAGTATTTATGCAGATATTTAGCTAAAAGGTTGGAGATGACGTTTTTCTTAGTCTTTATTGCTTTCACATAAAAGTGGATATCATATCTATGTTTTCCCGTAATAACAACCTTTTACTTTTATTTTTATGTAAACCTTTGAAGAGAACCATTCACCAGAATTAAATAGTATTGGACCATTCCACACGTCGGATTAAGGCTCACGTCGTTAGTACCTGAAATTCCGACTTGTTACACTCAAAAATTCAAGAAAATCCAGATTCTTCAATCGCATCAACAAAATATATTTAGATGGAACAACATCAAAGAAAACGAGTTATCCCACTGAAGGAATCAAATCCCCCAACGTTCTCAGTGCCTATGACTCGATGTCGGATTCTATCGTAACTTTAAAGGAAACTATTCATCACTATCCACGTTTGAAATTACACTACAAAATGAGGTTGATCAACAACCAACAGTTTCATATAAAGGAGTGGACACATTTTAGCGGCCGTCTTCTATTATGTTCCTTAGAGAAGTCATATTTTTTGGTATCCTCAGCAACAACACACACAGTTCAAAACCGCAGTATTTTCATCACTAAAGCATTATCCGTAAGTGTTTTAAGAAAGATTTTAGTTACGAAAGTAATAGAAGATTTATTCGTTGTGCACAGAAGAGAGATACTAAAAGATGATCGCAATATGGCGCTGTTTTCGTTACATATCATGCCAAATAGACCGCAAGAGAACAGACAGACAAACAGATACATACACCTGTACTGATCACATTTTGTTTCGTTCAGAGAAAGAAAAATATTATTGCACTTGAGCTACAGATATGCATATTGAAGAAAGTACAAAAAGGTAAAAAAATTTGCAAAAATTCTCAAAAAATCAACCTTTGTTAAGGTGGGGTCTTCTAATCTGTCTTCTGCTTCGCTCACTCAAAGAGCGCCTTTTATTGTTGGAGGAGGGGGGGGGCTACTAATGTGTCCATTCCTTTAACTTACCCCCCCCCCTTTTTATTTTTCATTTTTTCTTATATTTTTTAACGAAGCAGAGTGCGAGAGAAGATATTTATGAAAACTTGTGCATAAGAAATTAGAATTTAAACGTATTTTTAATTCAGTAGCAACTAATTCATTACCCGATTTCGCGAATCTGACCATGCGTATTTCATGACTAAATATTGTTTCAACATATCCATCAGCACATGGTATTGAAAATGTACAGCTCGTGGACTACTGTAATCGATTGAGGAATGAACAGTTCCTGAGACAAAGATCTACACAAGGAAGACTAATAACGAACTATTGGAATATTATTGTCCAGTGCCTACACCGGAGCAGAAAGCGATATGAATGTGATACGATACATGCACTATGAACCAAACTTCAGTTCAAATGCACCTGAAATCAGAAAAAAATCCAAAAATCAGAACATCAGAAAAGAGGCAGAAAAAAAGTTGAAAAATCAGAAATTTTCTGCCAAAATTAGAAGATCTGCGATCCCTGATATTGACATGTGCTAAAAACCGACAGTAAAATTTAAAAAAACGGGTCATCGTGTTGAGCAGTTAGTTAACCATAATCAGTTTTAGCAATCGGCAGCCGACATAATTCTACTATTTTCCATTTGATTAGATACTCGAATCAATCACAGTAATGCATCCTTTTTAAGGGTACCCCCCTCTTTTGGGGCATCCCGTATAAGTGCTGTGAAATAAAAACCAAAAGTCGCTAGGGCTTCTTATTTTCAGAACTGATTGGAAACTCGATGGAGTACTTTTTCGTTTTTGTTTCAAGTTTTCAGCAATTGTCATTCACCAGTTCTTCAGAAAACTCGTTTTTTCATTGTGTCCCATTACGAACCCCCCTTAATTTCATCCAATCGAGTTCAAAATTTTACCATAGGTACTTAAGTCCATTCCGCACGGGTAATTTTTCGGAACTTTTTTTGAGATATTTCCTGGTCGAGTTATAGAAAAAATACTAAAAAACGTCTCAAAAACCAAGTTTTTCAATTTAAAAACCCTATAACTCGGCAAAGAAAAGTCAAAAATAAAATTCCAAAAAATTACCCCTGCGGAATGATCTTAAGTATCTATGGTAAAATTTTGAACTCGATCGGATGAAATTTAAGGGGCGGTCGTAATGAGGCACAATGAAAAAACGAGTTTTCTGAAGAACTGGTGAATGACAATTGCTGAAAACTTGAAACAAAAACGAAAAAGTACTCCATCGAGTTTCCAATCAGTTCTGAAAATACAAAACCCTAGCGGTTTTTAGTTTTTATTTCACAGCATTTATACGGGATGCCCCAAAAGACGGGGTGTACCCTTAAATACTTTTCAAACCAAAAACTTTCAAAAATCATGTTTTCAGTATAATAAATAACTTATTTTTTTGCCTTGGAATGCTGTTTGAAAGAGCGAAATGTCAACGTTTATTAGTTAAATAAATGTGAAATGTTCAATGCTGCTGTTATCTCGATTATTTATTTTATATCAACATTTTTATTTCAAAGAAGAAATAACAGACAAATTGAGATAGTTGTCACATTACATGGTCATAGTTTGCTTTACCACATGACTAACAAATCTCAAATTTATATCGTTACTGCAAAGAAAGCACGTATGAGAAGAAAGGGAAAGACTAAAAAGGAAGGAATTAGGACACATACAGAACAATACAGTATGGGAGGGCGAGGACACACATTCAATTGAGATAACACACGTGAAAGAGCGAATCATAGAAGTAAGCACGAAATGGAAATTTTTGGTAGCACTATAGAGTTGTTAAGGTTATTTAAAATTTAAACTTGTTCTTGTTTATTAAAAAGCGGTGTTAGTTATAAATTGACAAGCTGCTTTATATATTTTTAATTAGTTAGTTTTGTTAAAGGATGATCTTAATAGAATAACATTTTTATTAAATGGAATATTTAGTATTTTAGATTGATTAGTCAGAACTTTTCTATGAGAAGTATCATTAGAGCAATCAAATAGAAAACGAATACAGTCTTGCATAAAAAACACCGGTGGAGGCAGCGATGAACAATGGAAACAGTAAGAAGATGTAGCACATTTTCTTTGGAAAAGATAATAGTTTAACTGTCGAAAATCTACTCTTAAATGACAAAAGAGAGTTTCTGTGCGATGACTAGCTGTCGATGATATTTCTACATGTTTTCCTGTTAAACTGATTCATAGCTCTTCTCTGAGTATAAAATTTTCTTTTTCTAAATATTACGACAGTGATTTTACCAAGGGGGAAAGCACGGAATCCTGGAATCCTGAATTCCCCCGGATTCCAAGGATTCTCTAGGATTCCTTAGGATTCTCTAGGATTCCTTAGGATTCTCTAGGATTCCTTAGGATTCTCTAGGATTCCTTAGGATTCTCTAGGATTCTTTAGGATTCTCTAGGATTCCTTAGGATTCTCTAGGATTCCTTAGGATTCTCTAGGATTCCTTAGGATTCTCTAGGATTCCTTAGGATTCTTTGGGATTCTCTAGGATTCCTTAGGATTCTCTAGGATTCTTTAGGATTCCAAGGATTCTCTAGGATTCCTTAGGATTCTCTAGGATTCCTTAGGATTCTCTAGGATTCCTTAGGATTCTTTGGGATTCTCTAGGATTCCTTAGGATTCTATAGGATTACTTAGGATTATTTAGGATTGTATAGGATTGCGTT